GCCAGGATATCTGGAATTGCCTGTGGCGATTTTGCTGTACTCTTCAACTGAGGCATGGAAAACCCCAAACCCTTCAGGGCAAAGGAGTCCTCGATATCTGAAGAATAAATCTTGTAGTCCAAAAGTCACAGTACAACATCTGCAAGCTACTGGATGTAAATCATATAGTTAGGTTGCTGGGTTATAGTCATTCTTTTTAAAAAAATAATCTTTATTTATTCATTTTCAGAGAAAGGGAAAGGGACAGAGGAAGACAGGGAGGGGAACATCCATGTGAGAGAGAAACACTGGGTATCAGGGAGGGGTGTGCTGGGGTGGCGCTGCTTCCCTGGGCGAGGTCTTCGTCCTCGGATGCAAGGGGAGGTAGAGGAGAGGGAGGCCTTGCTGTAGGAAGATGGTGCCCGAGGCCCAGAGCATTATGGCAGAGGACGTCTCCAAGGGCACCTTGCTGCGACAAGTTGTATACTTGCCCGTTGTGTCACGATAACAAGGAAGATCCTCAGCTGGAGTGCTTTAAAGTCAAGGGAGTGCTGTGCGTGATCTGTGAAACATTCAACATGCCCAACAGCCCTGTGAAGACTGTAGCACTTTGTTTGGAGAATATTATCGCAGTATATGCCATCTGTTTGACAAAGACGAGAAGCAGCATCATTGGGAAAGCTGTGGAATTTGTAGGATTGGTCCAAAGGAAGATTTTTCTCACTGTTTGAAATGCATGCCTCGCTCTGAATTTCCAAGGAAAGCACAAGTATATTGAACGTGTTTCTTGGCAGAACCGTCCAATATATTTGGAGGACATCCGCACATCTTGTGTTGCCCATGTCCTGTTATCTGGACATTTTTACCTACAATGTGTTATGAAGAAACGTTGAAAGAAGGCTGTAGATGTCCATTACGTATGCGCTGTGCTGTAGACGTGACTGGGTACTGGAGACATCTGGACGATGAGGGCGCACAGACTCCTATGCTGTCAGAATATCAGCACGTGACTGTAGATACTCTGTGGTGACTGCAGTGGAAGAGCTACAGTCCAGTTTCATATGTCAGGCCTGAAGTGTAAAGCTTGTGAGTCCTCTGATGCTGCTCAAGCTGGAGGTAGTAGAATTTCACTAGATCAGCAATAACCAGCCTGTGCTGCCCTGGAAAACTCAGCGTTTCTGTTAGTAAAGGCTCTTTAGTGTCCTACTGGCCTCATGCATCTAAATCTATGCATTAGAGTTGATAGGTTTTGACTAGTGTTGCAGCATAAAGTCATATTACAAACACTCAAGGATTCAGGGTCTCTTTACAGAATTGTCATAGCTCTATATTTAATAGAAGCCTCTGAGTTTATGGTTTGATTGAAAATTCCTTTAGCATCAGTTGTTTGGAAGCCAACGATGTTGTCACTGAAATTCACATGTATAGAAATGTGTGAGTGGCACTGTGCACACAGAATTCATTTCTGATTTGACGGAACTGTACATAGTTCTCAGTATTATTCCTGACTTTCTAAGGGCTGTGCCATAATAAAATTATGTTCTACCTTACCGTTAAAATCTAATTACACATGCTTTAGAATTCCCTAAGATGGACCTTTGGATCTTTAAATGTGAATTTTGACATAATAACTGCTAATATTATTGAAACAGTGTCTTATAGAAAGCTTTTTCCAAGGCTATCTATTTTGGGCTCAATTAGGACAATATAATCTTACAATGTAAAAGAAATAAATTTTTCTTTTTTTTTGAGGTATTCTTTCATAAAAGTAGTTGGGAAAAATATAAAATAATAGAACTCTTCCAAGCCTTAAGAAAACCATCAACATTGAAAATAATTCTGTTTGGTTGTCCAAAATTATGTCTTCAAAGAATAATTTATTCTGTTAGTATTTAGTGAGCAACTACTTTGTGCTGGGCAAGGTCTAGGTTCTGTAGAGACAACAGGGAACAGTATAGACAAAAGTTCCTGCTCTAATGGTGGTCCATTCTTTTTCCTTATTTTTTCTTTATATATGTAGAGGTTGTCTTTGCTGTAAGTGGGTGGATTCTTTCTTTCCTGAATACCTGAAAGTAGGTAGATGAGTAGAAAGGACACAGAATATTTCTGGCAAGATCTCGGATCTTGTAATACTTTTTTGGCTTCATGTAGTAGAATTAAATATACCTCTTAATCCAGGAACAGTGGAGAGAGAAAAATTGATTGATTGCCTCTCTTATGCACCCCGACCACAGACCAAGCTTGAAACCCAGGTATGTTTCCTGACCGGTAATCAAACTGATGACCTTCTGCTCTGCAGAATGATACCCAACCAGCTAAGCCAGAATGGTCAAGGTCAGGGCAATATGGTCATTCTTGATGTAATTAACTCATAGCATTGTTCAAAAACATATTTTCTTGGGAGTTTCAATGATTCACATAAAATACTAGTGAAAATTTCAGCCCCAAACAGGTAGGTCTTGATACATTGTTCCTTGAAAAGAGGAAGATTCCCCCTTGAAGGAGTCATTTTATAGCAGGTATCATTTCTTGAGTACTTATATACCAGGAATTGTGCTAAGAAGCACTTCAATGGGCATTTAGAGTAACGTAAATCCTCACACCCACCCTATGGGAAAAGCACTGTGATTATCCCCAGATTTTCAATGTGATAGTAATAGATCACAGATGACGAAAGGGTGGGTTGGAAAGATTAAGGGGACCTCACAGGGATTATCTCCCCAGTGCAGAACTCTCAGGTGGAAACTGATCCCCAGCAGAACTCTCCCCTAAATAGGATGAGGAAGTCTCCAGTGCTGCTTCTAGAAGTTAACTTTTCCTGGGGGGCAAAGAGGACAGAGGCAAAACCCCATTTTGTAGGTAAGGAACCTAAATCATAGAGAGGTAAGTAATTTCTCTGAGGCCACACAGATGTTATTAAGGGAAGAAGCCAGAATTTGCCCACAGGGTTACATGAATCTCAAAGGCTAAACTCTTCCTACATTCCCAAAAGAACTCACTTGAAATGGAGTAATGAGAGATTCCTACGTGGTGGGACTACTGAAAGGCAGCCACTAAAAAGAATGGTCTCCTTCACTGGACAGCTGTCCCTGGCCATTCTTGTCTGTGTGTGTGTTGGGAGGCAGTTCATTTCCATCATTCAGGGAGCAGTTATTCTACTTTCGTGGCATGTGCAAGGCCATTTACTTCTTTTCACTTTCCCTCCTCTTGTGAGCTCCTCTGTCAGGGGAAAGGGAAGAGGTAACTTTGGGGAACTGCATTATTGGGGATATGGTTAAACAACTGGCTAACATGACATTTTGCACATTTTGTCTGCTTGAATTATCTGGAACCCACATTAGTTTTATTAATTGGCCCTATGGTGGGTTTAGTAAGAGATCACACACGGGACATAGGGCCTTTATCAGATGTAAAGCTCCAGTCTTCAAACTCATGGGCCTAAGACTGTGGCCGTTGTTAATGGTTGCTCAAAAATTAATGATGGGCACAGGCAACTGCCTCACCCAACTTTGGTTCTCTGTAGAGGACCATGGACTCTCAAGGTTCAAGCCCCTTATGAGGCTATCTGGACTCACCCATCTGGCCTCTGAACCAGGGAGGGAACTCCTCTAACATGCTGGGCAGATGCCTTACTGCAAGCCAAGCAGTGATGTGACCCTCCACCCCACCAGGCAGCCCTCAGGACTGGGACCAGTGGGACTTGTTAGAAATCTTTCTCTGTTGAACCAAAATCAGCCTCCCATTGTGCCTTCCACCTGTCTCTTTTTTGTTCCTCTACTACCCAGTAGTTTAAATGGGTAACAGTAAACTTTATTTTTTAAAGCAAATAAAAAAGTAAGACACTACCAATATGATGAAGGCCCTGTGCACCAATCACCAATCTTACACCCCTTCTCTCCCCACCCCCTCTATCTGCTTATATATCTGTTTGGACTGTGGGATTCCCATGGGAAAGAGATACTAGTGGAAGCATTTGCAGTGCAGTGATTAATAGAAGAAAGTGCTAGGCACAGACTGGACTTCAAATGTGGTGGATATTTACTTCCTGTGTCTATAAAATGTGTGACGGTGGGCTACCTCATCCAACCTTTCTAAGTTTCATTTCCTTGGCTGTAAAATGGGAACAATAATCACATTTATGGCACGGGCTGTTGTGGGGATTACAGGAGACAGAACTCTTAAGTCATTTTTTAGCTCTTAGCATTTAAAGTAGCTGTTCTAAGAGTTTTCTCTCCCTCCACCTCCTGGACAAGGAAATGGGCTTTGAGGGGGTGAGGAGGTTTGTTGGAAGTCACACCTAGTTAACAGCAGAACGGGATCAGATCCCTGACTTCACCGTCTGGAAACCCTTCCTGCTCCCCACCGCTTTCGTTGGTGTCTGCAGCCGTCCTTTTTGGCTCTGAAGATTAAAAATGCACCCCTCATCCAAAGTGCCTATTCTGGGAAGCCTCTACCAATCAGCGACGATCAGAGCAGTGCGCTCGGGTCTCGGCTTTTTGCCATTTAGGGGAGGGAGGAAGATGGAACACACGGTCTCCTCAGGAGTGATTAAAGGTTAAAGGCAGTTTTGGGCGTTGTCCAGGCCTGGAGGAACACGGAGTCCAAGCGTTCCCACCATTTGCATTCCAATAGGGCCACTTCACTCGGCCAACGCGGCTGCGGGCGCCTCGGGCAGTCAAGGAACTGTGGATTAGGCACCTGGAGTCCGGAGCGCTCTGGGGCGCACGGGGGCGCGGGGGTGGAGGCGTGGAACCGGTTGGGGGTAAAAGCGGAGCCAGGTGTTCGGAGGCGGGGCCGGGGCGCGGGACAAACGCAGGGGCGGGGCCAAGGGGCGTGGCTTCCCTCAGGTGCAGCTAGCGTTAAGGTTTCACTGAAACTTACCCAGCTCTGGGGAGGAGCGTAGAGGCTACAATTAGAAGCAGGTGAGAGGGGGTGGCTTTCTCTCCGAGCGTCGAGCGGAGGTCTGAGTTTCCAGTCAGTGACGGCGAATTCCCCGCTCGCTGGGCGACGGGACTGCTGGAAGGATGCGAAGGCCGAGCGCAGTGTGGCTGCTGGGGGGCACCATCCTGCTGGCGGCCTCTGCCTCCTGCAATCACACGATCCTAGGTGAGCAACTTGGCCTAGGAGCGCTCGTGCCGCTAAGGAGCCGGGGTCCGGGGCACAATGGGCAGGTTTTGGAAGCGGGACAGGTGCGCGAACGGTGTTCCTTTGACGCCAGCCACCTCCCCTACATCCCGCAGCCTCGACTCAGCGGCCTCGATGGGGTCCCAGTGTCCCGAGAGCAGCCGAATGGGACAACCCGGAGAGGGAAGGGAATGGAGTGCTGGAGTCTCACGGGTACCCGGAGGGCTCAGGCTCCCTTCCCCTGGGTTGGCGTCTTTGCAAACACTAAGTCATTAAGGAGCTTTTCTCGCACCCTGGCGACTTCCTCCGGGCTGGTCCCATGGGGCCCCTGGAGTTAGCCAGTTGGTGGCCCAGGGTGGGGTGGAGTGAGTGGGAGCCGCGGCCTAGAACCTTCTACTTCACTTTTCTTTTGCAACTCCTTCAAGCCTTTGGAGCTCCCTCTTTGGGATCGGCGTTTAGACCCACCGGGGCCCGCAGGTGCTCTGGCATCGGTGGAGGGCCTGGACCGGACCCCTTAGGTTCCCCGTGTAACCACCACTCAGCTTCAAGTTTGTTGGGCGTCACGCAGATTTACGAATGAAACTCCTTGAACCTTACCTTGCCTTTATTCGGCCAGGTGACCTCAGGGCCTTGGCTTCGCGGGGCCTTGCCTGCCACACCGAGCTCACACTGGCTGCCAGCTCCAAGAACCGAACGGCCCGAGAGCCGACTGGGGTGGTGGTGCTCGGGTGCCACATTTTTCACGGCTGCCGGTTCCGCGGGTGTCCTGCTTTGGGTGAGCTCCAGTTGGACACCTGGAGGTGGGGTGGAATCTCCCAGGCTGAGCAGGCCTCTGAGAATGTGGGGGTGGGGGATGCTGAGAACGCGCTAGTGTGGTGCTAACCGACCCCCGCTATTTGGGGCTGGCCGAGTTGCCTTCAATGGGAGGTTTTTATTTCCCTGGGAAATTTGCAGACCTGCTGTAGAAGGCAGTTTCTCACTTTTATCCTTTTCAAAAAGAGGTTGTAGAAGAACAAATCACTGAGTTTGACTTAGATTGAAGAAGGTGACTTTTTACCTCTGGAGTTACAGAAATGCACATTATGATATATGCTTGAAAACTGCACCGCTGTATACATTTTATGGTCGTGATTTATTCATTTTCAGAAGTGTTGAAAATGATGAACACTTCTCCATTTACCTTTACCTTTTAAAGTTAGAAACTTAAAATTCAGGAACTAAATTTAGAATGCAAACATTTTGGAAAAACATGTGGGTGCAGGTGATTCAGTGCTTTTATGATTCAGACTCATCCTATAGGAAGCTTGCACTGCCTGTTGGCTTGTTCTTGTTTACCAAGTATCTGGGCTGGGACTGGGGGATTCCTGGAGCATAAGGTGAACTTAATTGAACAAGAAAAAAAAAATGAAGTTACTTGTTAACCAGAACTATTTAATATTGCACTTTGGGTGTTTTCTTTTTCCTCTGCATACTTTTATTCCCTTGTAGGGTACCTTTCCTCCCAAGTTGAAAACAAATTGATTTCGATTAAGAAACCGAGTATCGCCAATGTTTTTCTGCCCCTCACAGCCTATGCCTTTGCTCAGCCCCTTTTAGTTGACCCTTCTGCGTGCTCCTCAGTTTGCTGCAGGACAAATAACAGCCTGGATTTTCTTCCCAAAGGCCTTACCCCAAAAGACTGCCTCGGGGAGGGAAACTCAGGCTAGAATGCAACCTTACTTTACAGATACAGGCCGCTGACTTGGGGTGGAGGGTGAGGGGGGCAGTGTGCAAGGAAAATACTCCACCAGGCTTTGCTTTCTTTCCTATCAAAACAGTAATTGATAATTACTTGTGTAAATATGTTTAATCTGGATTACACTGGATTGTGAACTCTTGGAAGCCAGGGACCCTCTCATCGTCTCCGATCCAGCACAGTTAGTACCTAAATAAAGGACCTCGGTAAATAGTGAATGAACAATAAAGTGAAGGGACTTGCCCAAAGTGACCTGGTGGGTTGATGGCAGTTGGGCATTTAAATCGGCTTCTTTCAGGCCTGTACTGTTCTCTGCCACATCACAAGCCTGGGGGTCCCCCTATGATGGTCACTCTATTGTTCTTTTGGAGACTGAAACTTCTCTTTGTTACTGGTTTTTAATGATACATGTTATCACTGTAGAGTAAAAATGAGGAGAAAAAAAAAAAGAACTCAATGAAGACGCCTCCAAGTAACCATTGCTCACATTTTGGTACAGATCTGTTCCCATGCTTTCAAGCATCTCTGCAACAAATATGTAGTCTTGCACAAAAATCTTTTTGTACAAGTCTGGGATTATATGAACATCAGTAGCATGTTAGTAACTATACAACATTTTTAAGGGCTGTAAAATGAAGGAGAATTTTTGTATCATACTTTTTAAATTGGCCCTCTATTGCTAGACATGTGGGGTATTTCCAATGTATTGTAATAAGAGAATGCTATAATGAACATGAAGATGGTATTTTAAATTTGTGTTAATTTCTTGGCTTGCCTTGTAGTTAGTAGTTAACCTCGATAAGTGGTGTTTTAGTGAAGTCGGTGTTTGACTTTCTTAAGGTTTTATTAGCTGGGAAGGTGTTCAGATGAAAAGAGCTCATCCTGCAGGAACAGGTAAGAATTTACTAAATTGTACCTACCTACCTAGGAAGAGGTACTCGACGACCGAAGCTTTTTATTTTTCAGTCTCTGCTTCCAAAGTTTGAGAACAAAAGATTTGGGGTGAAGAGATAGTAGGGAAAAGGATACCAGAGCAGGGTTAACACCAATAAAGCACTTGCTTTATACGCGGTTCAGTGAGGAGTGCTTAAAATAAAAAAAAGTGCTTGGAAAGTTAAAAGTTTTATACACATTTCATCCAATTTATATAAATCAGGGGTTAAAAAAAGTGAAAGTCTCCAAATCTCTCCTCTTTCCACAGACTTCTCTATGCACAAATACATATTTTGTAACAATAGAAAGATAATGATATACATGCTGTCCTATAATTTATTTAACCTAATAAATTTATTCATGGTCAGTGTGTAGCAATCTGTCCATGCTTTTTTTTTTAATTATGTATTTTTAGAGAGAAGGGAAAAAGAGAGGGAGGGAAACATGAATATGCAAGAGAAACATCGATCAGTGCCTCTTGCACACCCCCAGCTGGGGAGCTGGCCCACAACCCAGGCATGTGCCCTGACCAGGAGTCAAACCACCAGCCTTTCAGGCCACAGGCCGGCACTCAGTCCACTAAGTCACACCAGCCAGGGTGGATACTTTTTTTTTTAAGTCACATTTTTAATTTATAAGTCTGGATTATGTCAGTGTGGTATATACACCTAGATCAATTGCTTAGGTCAAAGTTGAGGCTAAATTCACTTTTCCTGTTGTTTTTTATTCTTATTCTATTACAGTTTTCCCAATTTTCCCCCCGTTGTCCTCTTCATCCTGCCTTCCCCCCTACACTCCATCCCTGCACCGTTGTCATCAATCATAGGTCTTTCGTACGCGTTCTTTGACTAATACCATTCCCCTCGTTCTATCATTCCTTCCCTCCCCACTTTCCTCTGGCAGCTCCCAGTCTGTTTCTGTCGCCATCCTCTGGTTCTGTTTTGCTTTTAGTTTATTTTGTTCATTAGCTTCCTCTTATAAGTGAGATCATATGGTATTTGTCTTTTACCAACTGCCTTATTTCACTTAGCATAATAGTCTTCACTTCCATCCTTGTGGTTGCAAAGGGTAGGAATTTCTTTGTGCTGCATAGTATTTCATTATGTAAATAATCCACTCATCTACTGATGGGCAGTTAGGTTGTTCCCAGTACTTAGCTATTGTAAATAGTGCTGCTATGAACATATGGGTGCATTAGTTCTTTTGAATTGGTGTTTCAGGAGCTAAATTCACTTTCAAATTCAAGGTTCCAAGCAATTGATCCAGCTAGCTCTCTGGGTCTTGATGGACTTTCTTCCCAGCAAGATAAATCTGGACTAATTCCAACATAATATTTATCACACTGTATTTTAATTACTAGTTATCAGTCTCCCTCAGATTGTGGTTCCCTACAGCAGAGACTATCATGTTGACTTTGTCTTGAAGTAGGTACCAAATTATTTGCTGAATAAGTAATGAACAACACTCCCATTTAAATGGTATGTATTTATCCATAATTATAAAGCATTAATCTCCAAATATTCTATAATCTGATTTAAAACCCTCAAATTTAAACAGGAAACTTATATCAAGGCTTTGACTTAGCTTGTGCTAAATTATTTTTAAAATTTATAGCTTAGAGGCATTTTATAATTTAAAAAACTGGTACTTACAATCATAAATAATAAATTTCATCATACATTTACTTCATTTTTTTTTGCTTGACCTTCTAGTAAATCTTTAGCGTCATTGATTTTGGCTGCTACATAAGGAGACCCTCCCTTGTACAGGAAATTTAAAAGCATAATTCATCACTGAGCATCTCTTTTTTTCCCTTTGTGGACTATAGAGCTTACACCTGTGTTAATGCTACTTCCCATTTTGTCGTTGTGGGTTCAGACCATCTGTGTCATAGCCACCACTGAAGGCAGATTTTGGTGGACTTTGAAAAACTTGTTTGACCTGAGGCTCCTTGTGCTTCGTGGCTTGCAAAACATAATGACTTGCAAATTCTACAGCAGCAACTGTCAGTCAAACTGATTGCCCTGAACTGCCCCTGCTCCCCCCGCTCCCCTACCTCATTGGATAGCGAGATTCTTCCCAGCCCTGAGGCCACAGCCACCAATTCCACACCTCCCAGAATGCAATTCAGCCACCACTGGCAGGGACAAATGTCCAGACACAGGTACTCAAGGAAACACAATAGTGGCAGCCTGTCTGTACTTTTATAGGGGGAATAGTCATTGTATAAAGGTCATAATTTATTGAACTACAGTCACCATTTAATAATGGGGCGACTTGCTGAGAAATGTGTCGCCAGGCCATTGTGTCATTG